CCCATTTGGGGGGCATCTACCATTTCGCCCCCCCCGTGCTCATCGAGGAGGAGACGGGCGAGAGCCAGGAGGAGACGGACGAGAACGAGGAGGAGGGGGGAGGAGGGAGGAGGGAGGGAGGGGATGCATTTGAAATGGAGGAGGAGGAGGAGAAGGAGGAGAGGAGGAGGAAGATGAGGAACGAAGCGCAGACTGAAATGCCCGTAGCAAGAGGCAAGCCTCGAGAAGGAAGGCGGGAAGTTACCCTCGACCGAGGGATCGCCTGCTGGCATCCTTCCCACACATCCTTCCAGCCCAGGCCATGACCTTCAGCGCTGTCTGCACCCGGTAGGGTCACAAGTTACAAGTATGCAGCGGACGGAGGGGTGACAGGCGACGGGCGACGGAGGGGGCATGGAAGAAAACAAAAGGAAACGAGTTTGGCACCCATCTTCGGGTGAAGCCCTTGCTCGAACCGCCTCACGTGCATCTTCTGTTTATGTCGCATGGACGGGACGGTGGAGGAGCCCTGGCAGTGTGCTGTCAGCCTTGCAACTCAGTGAACGGTACCGAGACCCCCACTAAGGCTGCAACAGTAATTAGATTAGACCGTACCGCAAGACATCGTAGCTCAGGCGGGTCAGGTCCTCAAACGCATTGGCATCGCGCTCACCCTGCGGCTCCATTTCGGGAGTGGGGTGGGGTGGGGGGGGGCTCGGACGCTGAGCTCAAGCTCGTCGAGACTATCAGCAGCCTCGGCCGCCGCACGCACGGCCTGGCACGGCACGACCTGGAGGAAGAACCCGTGATTCTTGAACCAAGCGTCAGTGACGATGCTCTGGAGTCGGAGTGGGATGGCAAGCGCGAGCTAACGTGTCAGTGCTCAAACTCCTGAGAGCGGCCGTACGGGCCCAACGGCAACAACTTCGGCAGCGTCACTCCGGCAGCAATCCGCAGCAATGGAAAGGAGGGAGTGAGGGCGAGCAAGAGGGAGCGAGGAAGGGAAAAGCAGCAGAGGCGGAGGAAGAGCAGGAGGAGGAGGAGGAGGAGGAGGAGGAGGAGGGAGGACGGGGGCAAGGAGTTTAGCGGCGCCACGTCTGCATTTGAAATAGAAGTGGTTGGCCAATTCGCGGTCATGGCATCTGTATTGAACATTTGCCATTCTGCATGACCTGTGAGTCATAGCAGCCTGGGCGGGGGTGCCTGCCATTCAAAACGCTTGAGCGGGGAGGCGGGGGAGGCGGGGTGCATTGACGTTTTGATTGGAGCCTAAGGCGGACGCTAACGCGGTCGGTCAGCCGGCGAGTGGCGCCAGAGACACACTAGACAAGTGGAAAAGAGGAGGGCGGCCGCGGAAGGGGGGAGCCTGGGGGGAGGCCTCAGGCGTAGAGAATGTTCAGTCGTTACCATACGTTCCCTGCCGCTGTCGATGTATGTATATATATAACCACATGCGCAGACACATGCTTGGCTGTCTGCAGCTACTTGTGGTTCGGAGAGGAGAAAGGCCCGCGCCCGCCCCCGCGCGCGCGTGCTCATACTGCATACTTTCCTTACCCACTGCTTAACGGGATACACATATCCTTTTACATTCCACGATGTCCATTGACCCGTTAGCATGGACCCCAACAGTGAGAACTACCTTACTTGACGATGTTGGCCTGGTTGGGCCTGAGTTTGGTAAAGATTGGTTATCAGCCGAAAGCTCTGGGCTATGGACAGTCGACCATGTCGATGAAATTGGGGCAAGTACGGGTACTTCCGTGACCGTGGAGAAGAACACGGGAGGGAAAACCAGCCCCAAAGGTGTGGAAATGGTTAAGGATAGAGTCGACGGACCGACAAAGTCGACCTCACAACGCATCCGAGAGACAAAAGCAACCATGTTGTAGAAGATCAACTCACTTGAGAGACCTTTTTCACCTGCAGAGGAGGATGACAAGGCCATTGAGAAGCTGATCAAGAAGAACCCCTTCTCCAATATACGAACCCCGTCTCCAGCAGTTGAGCCATCGGGATATGATGATACCCCTGTCAACCGAGGGCGAGAGGACACCCCTGTTCCAGACGATGATATCGACGAAGAGGACGATTGGTATGGGGGAAGGCCCTGCCTGCGCAACCCGCTGTTGGGGGGCGTTGATCAGGCCTACGTCGCGAACTCCAATCATCGGACGAGGACGACGATGCCGAGCACATCGCCGCGCCGGTGAAGGCGATGACAATATCGAGCTCGTCCGAGAAGAGTTATGGATCGGCATCCGATCGGGCCCCGGAGAAGCGAGGTACGGACTATGTCCGGAGAAAGGGGAAGTCGCAGAGCCCGCGGGGCAGTGTCGAACGTCAAAGGGACTTCGCGGCCTCGTCCGGGGGGTCTGGAATGGAGATTCGCCGCGGAAAAACCCCTAGGGGCGACCCGGTGGACGCGCAACAATCCCCGTGCGAAAAGCGCCCAAAGACCGAGCCTGGCGGTTCGAGTGGCCCAGAGCATCCCGAGCCAGCCCCTGATCTGAACCCCCGTGGAAGGCAGTTATTCGAGTCACCCGGCTCGATTTCCGGGAGGTCGAGGTCGGGAAGGGGCGGCCGAAGTCGCAATTCGCGGGAATCCAGTCACGGGCCATCTCTGTCCAGATCATCAACGTCTCGCTTCTCAATTAGGGAGTCGCGTGCGAATCACGGGCCGGCGTGCGAGCCGGGCCCCGAGAGTCGGTGCCCGGGCAGGACTGCCGATGGCCTACCATATCAGAAGCCCGTGTGCCGGGGTTCTCTCTGTCCAGCGTGGCCTGTGCAATCTTGCGTATCATTGCCAGGAACGTCTGCCGCCGAAGCAACGCAACTGCTTTGCGTATAGACACCGCGAGTGGGAGCTGCAACAGGAAATGAGGCGAAGCCAACTCGAGCAGGAGCGCGTTTCCGAAATAGCGGCCATGCGCACAGCGATGGCAGACGTGGAAGCAAGGCAGAGTGCGCATAATGAACTGGCGGCACAGAAGGCAGAACATGAGCTCAATGCAATTCTCAGAAGGGAAAAGGAGCAGAAGGATGCCCTCTATGAGGCTGCATTAAAAGCAGATAAAGAGGCCAAGGAGCAGAGAAGGGCCGAACAGGCCATCGCGGAACAGGCCCGACAAGCACTCCGTGGGGCCCAGGGCCGAAATACGAAGTTCGAGGAACAGGTCCGCACCAAGCTCCGAGAGGCAACCAAACGGCCCGTTTCCGAGGCGGAACAGATCGCAGCCAAGTCCATCGCCGAGAGGCGCTGGTTGGGACAGAACGCCGTCGAGGCGAAGAGGACAGCGGACCTGGCGCTACAGGAAGCCCAGGCTAAGCATCGACAGCTGGAGGGCGAAGCCAGGAATGCACAGATGGGAGTAACCAACGTGCAAGCTGAACTCCAGCGAGTTTCTGATTGAGCTATGGCGATTCGTGGGGAAGCATGCGGAGCAGCCCAAGCGTTGATCCGAGTCAGGACAGACGCCCTCGCAGAGCACGAGGCAGCCCTACGAAAGGCAACAGAGTTGAAATCGCTGCAACATACTGCCCAGATATAGCTGCGGCAACTTCCCAGGCAGGCCGCGCGAACGCGAAAGCCGAGGCAGAAGAGGCAATGCAAGCACTGCGGAGAACGGAAATGCAAGCTCAGGCCGAAGTTGAGGAGACAAAGCAGCGACTCCACAGAGAAGCTGCTTCGAACGTGCAGGAATGGGAAGCACGTCGCGAGCAATCCTACCGACAGCAGGCCTTGCAGATGGTGCAGGAGAGGCTCCAAGGCGTGACCAGCACGGTAAGGCGGTGAGGAGAGCCGTCTCCGCATTGGCGACGCGGATGCGCCCCGTTGGTGGGGCGATGTCCCAGCGGGAGGATTCGCGGTCCAGGCCGGCTACATCAGATGTGACCAGGTGCTTTGCATGCCGCGCGGCCGACGCCCCGCGCACATGCGAGAGATGCCAGAGACAGTTTTGTGAACAGCACTTCGACTGGGTCATGGGGCGGCGCACGCAGTGCGAAACCGATCGCATGCGTGACCACGAGGGCGCTGAGAAGAAAGCATGAAGAGGAGAAAGCCATGGTGAAGAAAAGGATGCAAGAAGAGGAAGAAGTCAAGCGGTCCAGAGACAAGCAAAGGGCCAACGAAGAGGCAGTTGCCCTTCGACGCATTCACGAGCTTGAAGAGAAAGCCGAACAGCGCGCGCTCGCGATGGAGAATGCAGCGCAAGCGCAGGCTGAGGAGATGCGCGAAAAGGCGGAGGCAATAATGAGAGAATCAGAGACTGCCGCTGCCAAGGCCCGTGACAATGACAGCCATCAATGGGAATGGGCCCCTAGCAGAATACAGGAACAGAAAGAAGAAAGGAAGAAAAATAAACCGAACAGACCGCCTGTCAGCACTTTCCCTGGATGCACTACACCGGCCCGGCCGAAGAAAACCACGGCCTTTGCGGGGGGCCTCGCAGGGGATGGCGACCAGCCTCTGCGCCGGGGCAACGCCCGCGGTGACGGGGGCGGGCCGGGGAAGAAGAAGGGTGGATCCGGTCGCGTGCCAGGAGGCGGTGGCCCCGATGATGGCGGCGACGGCGACGATGGCGACGAAGGCGATTCCGACGAGGAAGACGACTCCGAGGAGGAGGATTCCGAAGAAGATTCCGATGGCGAGCATGATGAATCCTCCGAGGAGGAAGATGAGGACGCGGCGAACCGTAGAGCCAGACGATACGCCGATGCCCAGAGAGCCGGGCAAGGCGATCCGGGG